CCAGTGCCATTCCCACTAAAAACTACTGGACTTTGGCTAGTACTTTTGCAGGATCATGACTAGACTGATATGCACGGGTTTTTTTTTAGTTTCTCCTCACAGTCAGTAGCTCCCAATTATCTTGAGGGAAGCATGGTATTTAATATATACTGAATTACGAAGATCGTTACTTACAATTAGCTGTTTCAAGCCTACAAATGACTGTTCTACAGAGTTGGCGTTTAAAACTTGTCTCTTCACTGCAGCTTGCTCCCCCAAGAAGCGAAGCATTAAGTCTTTTACTGCATCTCCCTTGGTGTTCATGGAACAGAAAAAGAAGAAACATAACAAGACACTTTTAAACATTATGTTGGGTTGAGGTTGGACTCGATGATCTTAGAGGTCTTTTCCAACCTCAATGATTCTATGATTCTATGTATGAGTCCATTGTTGAAAGCTTTCCATTTCCCATCAATTGATTCTTCAGTGTTCAAACCATAACTAAGTCAATGAAGTCACCTAAACAAGTGATTTAAAGATTCAGCTATAGATTTCTTCAATATAAAACTACTGACTAATACCAACGGTATGAAAACATTTAAGTTGCACAAATAAATCCAATCCATTGTTGAAAGCTTTCCATTTCCCATCAATTGATTCTTCAGTGTTCAAACCATAACTAAGTCAATGAAGTCACCTAAACAAGTGATTTAAAGATTCAGCTATAGATTTCTTCAGTATAAAACTACTGACTAATACCAACGGTATGAAAACATTTAAGTTGCACAAATAAATCCAACTAAGCCAGAACTTTATACCAAGATTGTCAATATGCCAGTCACTAAGAGACACTGGTGAGGGGAAAAAAAAATAGCCAGAAAACTCAAAAAAATAAGTTTCATATAAAGAATATCCAACATGACTAATCCACGAGTAATGAAAGAACATTTTGTCTTGTCTCCTCATGCCTCTTGAACTAATACATATTGTTGAGACAGACATTGGAAAGAGGGCAACTATATGAACACTGAAACGTGCAGAATTCCGCCCAAACTTTGTCTCCACTTGCCATTGCTATATTTAAGCATAAGGTGGAGTGTTCCTTAAGAAGTATTTAACTACTGCTGTCTACCTTATTTATATAATGATAACAAGTTACATTTCTGCAATGTATTTCAGAATGTACAGAACATACATATTCTGCAGTGTCATTTAAGTAAAGAAAAAAATCACACTTTTGTTCAGCAATCAGCAACTCACAATATTTAAAGCTACTGAATCTTAACCTGTACTGAACCTTAACAGAATGATCAGCTGTATATAACTCCAACAAACTTAGTACAGAAAAGTCCTACAAGTAAACTTACACAAAAGCTGCTTGGACTTCTGGGAAGGTAACAAACTGAATTGGAAAGTCATCATAGTTAGTGGAACACACAAGCTGTTCTTTTTCCCTTTTTTTTTTTTTGACAACTCTACTTCCAATAATTCAAGGCTTTAGCTACATAAAGATGACCAGAATACATCTTAAACGTCAATAGTCAACTAACAGTTATCCCCTTTTTGAAGATGTGAAAGTAAAACATTTTTTTCCATCAAGGAATACTTCTAACGGCTCATTTATCCCATGAGAACATTGTGTTCTCACATGACCTGTACGAATATTTTCAGAAGTCAAACTTTTTTTATTGCTGCTACTTTAAAGATTTACAGGCTGGACTGAGCAGGCCTCATATATATATATTTATATATATGCACAAACTTGCAGCTAGAGAGCATTAATCAGTTACATCTTATTATTCACTCATCTTCTCCAATAAAGGAAGTAGAGCCAATAGATCATTACACCAAATTTTACACCTTTATCTCATCTTCTGACACATGTTCAGACTCTAAAGACAAAAATCAACTGGTCTATGCTAATCATTTAACTTGAACTTACATATAGTTTATATAAGTATATATACTCCAAAGTGTTTAAAGTTTTTAAAATAGTTTAAAGCCCAAGTGAGAACAACCACATCTTTCATTTGCAATAGCATCTCTGGTTTTAAATCTTCAGCCAGTTATTATTTAACTAACTTCTTTTGGTTGCTGAACAATCAAGCTAACAGTTCAAACTAGCAAGTTAATGACTATGCTGATATTCAGGGCTCTCCAAGACTCAGGACTCTAAGATAGGTATTTCCTTTGACATAAATACTTCCACTTGAGTGTCAATATTTTGCTCAAAGATTGTACTTGAATAACGAGTAACAGCTACATGTCTACTCCAAAATAAAGCTTTAGAGGCTTAGAACACATAAGATTCTGAAGAACAAGACACTTCAAGGCCACATTATTAATCTCTAACTGATCCAAGGTCCTGATGCATAGGACACATTTACTGCTTTAATAAAGCCTAGCTCTCCTCCTCTTGAAATCTAATACTGAAGTCTGACCTCCTTTGCTTGCACTTTCACAATACCGAAGTCCTTGCTTATCATTCTCAGCATCCCTTAAGGAAACAATTTGTATTCACGTACAAAATAGGATCTTGATTAGTAACTTCAAGGCAAAAACAGCATCATGAAGTTTTCTTTCATTTTTCTTTAGATTTGACAAAATTTTTGTGGATCTATTTTCCCTTTTCTTTTTGCTCACTTGGAAGACAGAAAAAAGAGCTTATGTCTTCCCTCTCATTTC